GTATCGGCCCTTGCCATTTATCCCCAAGGCTCGACACTCATCTACAGAAGCTTGGCATTCGACCTTGCCATTTATTCCCAAAGTCTTGAACTGTGCATCGACCCTTGACATTTATCCCCAAGGTATCGACGACTACTCAACGTATTGGTCCTTGACCGCCACCACATCAACACGCAATACTAATTCAACAAAATAGAATCACCGTGCTGACCCCCGACCCTTTGTAACCGGAGCCTCGACACTCACTCTACCAAGTTGAGGTATCGATCCCCGACCTTTGCACCTGGAGCCTTGATACCCAACCAGTGACGTGCCAGCCTTTTTGGCCCTGTTAGTTCTCCATTTACTATATTACATCCCGGAACTCTCACCAGAGACCTACATGCTTTTCAGCCATGACCCATGCAGAAATTATCTCACAAAATGGAACATACGTTATACACAAAACCTATGTCACTATCATCCAGACATGGCCATCCAACATCACGAGGACACCATTCTCTCAACACTCAGCATGCTTTACACACCACAGCGCAGATAATTCACAAAAGAGACGTAGTCGACATATATCCATATATGCATCCAACACTCTAAAAATTTCATAGTAATCAGAACACAACATAACCCATTCACTTCATTAAGGACCAAACTTTCACCAGAGTCCTACTACATACTTTCTAGGCCATGACCCATGCAGCACTCAACTCACAATAAAACCAGCATGCTTCCATAACCAAAGACAGTAAGCTAAACATGAAATGACATGTCCAACATGCATGCGCAACACAACAAATTTCTCCCACATTATTTCAGTATGCTTTTATGAACCCAACCATACAACGATAAAACAATTCATAATCCATAATGCTTTCATAAATACCACTAAGCATCAAATCCAACAACGCAAAGCAAATCAGTTATAAACCACCAGAATCAACATGATTTCATTCAAACTACTTATAATCATTAGCCAATATTCACAAAGACACAATCAACCTACATATTAATAAATAATAAACACACCGAAAGCACCAAACAATTCATACATATTCAAATAACAAACATCCCCCAAGTAAGAACTACTTACCTACTGTCAATGTTCCTAATTCTTCGGTTGATTCGACACC